TCTTCAGACTCTTCCTCTTCTTCTTCCTCGCTCTCTTCTATAACCACCTTTTTGCTCCGCGTAACACGTCTTTTCTTTTGACATTCTTCATCAGAGTCGTCTTCAGGGTCAAGCCTTCGCTTGCGCATCGTTCTGCGGTTTGTTCTTCCATCGAAACTTTCGTTGCTGGATTCGTCACTTGATAATTTTCTTTTCCTGGTGTTTGGAGCATTTTTGCTTTGTTTTTTCTTACTGCCTTTCGCTGCAATAAAAGATGGGAGAATTAACTCCTGCGCAATCTTAAAAGCTGAGTTAAATCATTCATCGACGTCACAGAGACGTAATAAGAAGCTAACTATGTAAGAGAAGCCAACGTTTATTTTTCACCAATTCATCAGGCAATATGAATGAGTCAATGAAGGGATGAATGAACGAACGAAGGAAAGAACGAACTTTAAATGAGTGAACGAACAAACGAACGAACGAACGAACGATATAATGAATAACCGACAAACTGACTGACTGACTTTATTAACGTGCCCAAGTTCTTAGCCAAACGTAATTAATCTACTGCTAATCGACAGGGGAATGTTTAAAGAAACGCGTTTTCATGATGATAAGCCATTGTTTAAGAGTTGAAACCTTGAAAGCGTAACCGCAGCGACTTCTCAAACACGCAAAATCAGTGGAATGACTTACCAACTTGTTTGCTTCGCTGCTGTTTTCGTGTCTTCCTCGGCTTGGGTCGTTTGCATTCCATACATGACCACGTGCCCCTGCGAAAAATAAAAAGGAATTTAAATTACGCGCGCACTAAAAAGTAAACGTTAACCATGGCAACAGTATTCTTACCTTGGTATGTTCCTTAGAGGGGGGTCATGGCAATCTTTATGGAAGACAAGAGGGCATGTATCGCAGCAGACCAGCTCGTTTCCTCCCTCCTGGCATATGTTACAATAGTCTTCATTCTGAATTTCGTTGTCTGCATCTTCTTCGCTTTCGCTGGAATCCTGGTGGAATCAATAGCTTTTATTTTTTCTGCTTTTGATCGTGTGGACACAAAGCTTCCGATACGTTTTCGGTGCGATGTAAACGGAGCGTTTTTATTTATGTGATCGTGGGCCTCAATATTTGGGCTTTGCTCGTTGAAATCTGGTTTCTTACTGCCGCCAGTCAAAAATGTTAAAGCTACAGGCTATTTAGTTTTGATTGACAGCAACAACAAAACAAATATTAACGGGCAGCTCGCAGCTACAAGGTCGTGTATTATAGAGTGTGTCATATATCCGTAAAAAAAACTTTGTCAAGGTGAATTCCACAAATTAGTAAGTTCAGTAGACCTCGGTAGACCGTAGACCTACAAAACTTTGCAATGATTTTTATAAATTTGTTTGTTAACTTTATCACGGATATATGGTTACATTCTGTTGAAAGTTGCTAAAACTTACATCTGAATCGTCTTCAATCGTTTCATCTTTGTACATTTCTTTTCTGTCTCTTTGCGATCTTGCACTACTAACAGGCTGCAGATAAAAATATTGGATATCAAAACACAACATACTACTCCAGTTATGAACTTTACAGTACTTCCCAACCACACGCGCGCATAAAATAAATGAATAAATAAATAAATAAATGAATAAATAAATGAATAAATAAATAAATTTGTCGTAGTCGCAACGAAGATCTTTAGATCGGACAACGACAAGGAGAACAAGTACAAATCTTAAAATTGGTTCCGTGCAAAAAAAGAAAAAAATTCGTCTAGATCCGACAACGAAAACGTGTACAAGTTTTAAAACTGGTCCTGTGCGTGAAGTTAACACTGAATCGTAATCGATTACCGATTTTTTACAATCTAAAGTTTCAATCTATGCACACGACTTCGACTTCGAAATGATCAGTGCTCACTTTAAAAGTTAAATACTCGTACTTGTACTCGTCGTCGGATCTAATGGTCTCTAGTCTTTGGCGTTTGCATGACATTCCATAGGCAAGTGCCCTCGTCAATGACAATGACAATGTCATGTAAACACTTTGATGGACGTCCACCAAAATCATATTTCGTCTCGATGATAAATTATATGCTTCCACATGCAAATGGAGGTTCGTCAACCATTTTTATTCACCTGACATGACGGGCACTTCCATTCTCCCCTAGGTATCTTATTAATAGCAGGGCGTAAGCAGTGTAGATGGTAACCACGGTTACACTCGTCGCATAGCAACAGCAAGTCATCATCACTTCCTTTTTGACGACACACCTTGCATTTCTGAAAACATTTTAAGCAATGTTAATATGGAGTTGAAAATTTTGTTGCCGATATTAGATAAGGTACAGATCATTTGGACTGTCAAAATCTCATGTTACGGGCGTGCTACGCTGTGATCGACAGGAGCCGAGCGCAACAATTTTCATTAAATTCTACTCTACTCTAACTATCCAATTGCGCAAATATGTTCACGTAACACGCACTGGCGCGCAGAAAAACATTTAACGAACGCACAACACATGTTCATCCATACGCAGCGCGCACTAGTCAATCCTCTGCAAACACATTCATCGAACGAGCAACATAATGATAAGTAGTGCGCACTAGATAATCCTAATATTACGACATTCTTACCGCATTTTCAGCAGATTTATCCCAAACAATTGCGGAATCTAAGATCTCTAACAGAAGGTGTAACAGAGAAAGGGTTGATGCTTTCAGTGCTGACTGGCGCCATTCGTTTATGACTGATTCCTCGGTGAAACTGCCCTTCAGGAACCGCGGAAAAATTGATTCCTGGAGTTTAATCAGCAGCGGCCCCTAAAGAAAAACCCACAATAAAATCAAGATCGGTACCTTTGGGATCGCTGTGGTAAGACACAGGTAGCCCGTTTGGGGTACAATAGTTACCAGGTTTGTTGCCTTCTCAAGACTCTTTTGGTATCTTTCCATCTTATCGATCTCTCCTAGGTTTCCTCTTGTCACACGATCTGCAGTATCTAAAAGATCCTGATATAAACGATAAGGTGAAACCGTTAGCTAACATACTGACAGCGTGCTAGGGGCAGTAGATTCCTGAAGTTTCGTAGAGCGAAGCAGATTTCGTAGAAATGCGAGAAACGTAAGGTAGAGATGTAGGGTGACTGGGACGGTAACGATAACTGGTTGGATGACCGTGACCTTGACAAAGAATTCACCAATCCTGCATTCATTATCCTACCACCTCTTTCTCTTTTACTCCGACGAAGGACTAGCGTCCGAAACGTCAGTAAGTTTTTTCATCTTTTCACGGTGTCTAATTTACCCTTTTAAGGTAAGTAAAGCCGGGATCGGTGAATTCTGATTGGCTAAGCAGTAATTTTGCCCGCTATGATTGGTTTAAAAGATGTCGTAGATTTCGACGTTCCACAGTACAATGTCTACTCTAACGAAAATAATAACAAAAAAATCACCTGTTTGAAGTAATCCAACATTTTGTTTTCACCTTCATCTTGTGCGGGTTTATCTTCTGCGGTCGCTCTGAAGCCAAATCAGTCATAAAACAATAAATTATAGTATTAACACCAAACCCAAAACCTTGGGTTAGGCTTCACGAATTTGCAACGTCCCCTGTGATTGGTTTGGTTTAGTGGCGGGGTTGGGRAAAGGTCATTGTTTTCCATTGTTCTACACATGTGCGCCCTCCAATAGGATCACATCTTGCAAATTCGTGAAGGACGACCCAAAACCTTGGGGCGCAATAATTTTCCTATATCAAACCGCGTGCCATTCTCTTGTTCACTGTTTCTTTGTCTGAGTAACTTTGAGAAGATACTCTAACTTGGATAACCAAACAAAAAACTTTTGAAAAGGGAAATATTATGCACAAATTGAAAGCATGAGGTAGAAGAGGAAGAAAATGAGAAATGGGAGAGATGGTAGTTTGGAAAGTCGAGAGATTTTTGCGCGCGGGCAATCTTACCTCTTTTTGATATTTTTAGCAATGTTTGTTTCGTTTGTCAGCACTTGGTGAAGAGCACTTTCTCTGATTCCCCGAGAAGCTAAGCCCCCTAGAAGTGCGTTTATTTCATCTGGATCATCATAGTACGTCCAACTGTATGGAACATCTCTCATACTACAATAAAACAGTCGTCAAGGACGATGAGAGGATAATATACGAAATGTAATGTAAATTATAGAAAACTAAAGAAATAGAAAACACGCGCGCGTGCTGTGTGCAGTTATAAAGCACGCGGGGGTTGGCAGAACACGAGAGAAGTGTTAGGAGAAGCACGACGCGTGCTTTATAAGAGCACACAGCACAGCAAGTTTTTTATTCCTTTCATAAAATACAAATTACAATAACCGTTATTTTAGATAGGAATGACGCTACTAAAAGATCGCGCGCGTACTGTGTGCTCTCATAAAGCACGCGCTCGAAACCAATCAGAACGCGACATTCATAACAGTTATTTTATAATGAAGAAATGGAAAACCAGTGCGCATGCCGCATTAAGTCAACGCATGCAGGGATATCCAGAACATGAGAGACTAAGAAGTAGTGGAGTGGTTCTCAACRCTTCTCGAATGTTCTGCTAATCCCCTTGTGATTTATATCTGTACACAGCACAGCACAGCACAGCAAGCAAGCAAGTTATTTATTTCTTTTATAAAATACGATAATTTGAATTTCTAATAATTACCTTTTATCAATAGATGATTTTTGGTCATTTTCTGCACTTGTTTTGTCTCTTTGTTTTGTCTCGACACTTACTACCGCCACATCTGCTTCTTTGCTTTCTGCATCAGGACTCCCGGCTCTTTCAACGCTACCAGCATTTGTGCTTCCGTTTTCGTTGGTCTTATCATCCCCATCACTCTTTGTCACGCTTGCATCATTACTTGTTTTAACATTACTGGTAATGCTTTCTTCATTAGTCACGCTTCTGTCACCATCTATCACGCACTCATCATTTGTCTCGGGCGTGACATGAGTAATGTATTTAGACATCCATCCATCTTCTACATACAATCCAGACATGCCAGTAAACAGCCAGTAGCGACGATGGTAACGATCATAACCAATAGGAGTGATACGTAAGGCTTGCTTTAACTTGGCAACGTTAGCCTAAAAATAATGTCAAAGTTGTGTCACACAATTTGTCACGCATTCAGCAGAGGGCAGTTACTTTACTATGTTCTTACCTGGCGTTCTTGTTCAACTTGTTCTTTTCTTCGTTCTTCTTCCTCCTTAAGGCGTCTTTTAAAACAGATTAAAAAATTAAAAGAAAGGTTATTCAAGTTTAAGAGGATAATCAATTGCAAGGAAGGAAAGAAGGATGGTAGCGTTGGGGGTAGAGGGATGAAGGGAGGAAGGAAAGAAGGAAGGGAGGAAGGAAGGTAGGAAGGAAAGAAAGAAGGAAAGAAGGAAGGAAGGGATGTATAAAATAGAAAAGATGAAAAAATAATTAATAAAAAAGACAAACAGAAAAGGGATAGATAAATGGAAGGAAATAATCAAGAGAACCCTTGGAGTATCTATACCTCTCTAGTTCTTCAGCCTTTTTCTTCTCTGTTTCCTGTTTATTCAATTCCAACTGCAATCTTCTGTTTCTAATAGTCTGTGCTATCCCACAAGAAGTACTATCTTTCTTCTCCTTCTCTGGGGAGGTTTCTTTTTCGTCTTTCTTTTCACTTGGTTTCTTATTTTCTGCTGTCAATGCAGTGATAATAGATGTCTTTCCCACACTTTTTCCCTCGGCAGACTTTTCTTCTGTTGTATTGCTGCTATCTGTATGAACCAATCAATAATGTTATGTGGCTAACAAACCTGTCACCCTGTATTCAAATTTGAATTTAGAGCCACAGGAGATCTTAACCAGCTAGACATTCTACTCCTGAGTGACTCTTACCATGCCACCAGTGCTATCCAATCATAACATATTTACAGATGTATTTCACTGACCTTGATTATTTTCTGCTGTTGAATTCTGAAAAGCAAACATTTTTTGAATGTATCAAACAATGTCTCAAACACAGCCTTTACTTTTTAACGCATAGCAAACTTCAAGCAAACTTGCTGCTGCTCTTGCTGTTGTTGCTGCTGCGGCTGCGGCTGTTGATGCTACTGTAATGGATGCTGCTGCTGTTATTGTTGCTGCTGCTGCAGTTATTGCTGCTGCTGCAGTTATTGCTGCTGCTTTTTTTGTTGTAGTTGCTGCAGTTATCGCTGCTGCTGTTCTTGCTGTTGCTGCAGTTATTGCTGCAGTTATTGCTGCTACTGTTATTGTTGTTGCTGCTGCTGTTGATGTTGTTGCTGCTGCTGTTGATGTTGTTTACCTAATTTTTTCTCATTCTTTTATTCATTTCCTACCTTCTGCTCTTCCAGTTCCTTTTTCTTCAATTGTTCGTTTCTTTCCTTTTCTTCCTTCATTTTATCTCTAATTTCTTTCTCCTCCGCTTTTTTCTGCCGTCTTTGAAAACAATTAAAAAATAATTATAAGCTTCTCTGGCATTTGTACACATTTGGTACACTTAGGGCAAATGAATTTCTACTTACTTAATTTCCATATCTGTCTCTTTCTTGGCTTCAATGTAGTTATCGATGGCATCAGAGGATATCACTGCATGGCAGAGAGATACCAACAACTGGAAAACAGCCACAAATTGATATTATAATTAAGATGATACAATAAGATAAACAGTGGTTTCATTGGAAGCCAGCGACTGCCAGAGCTCCGTCAGTAACTTGTGTTTTTATTGGCAGCTACATTCACCTGCCTAATAAGTAACCGCCACCCGTCTAGCTCAGTTGGTAAGAGCATCAGTCTGTTGTGCGGGAGGTCGTTGTTCAAGCCTCAGCCGGACTAACACTCAGGGTTTTTAAATAACTGAGGAAAGGTGCTACCTTCGTAATTACATCTGCAAATGGTTAGACCTTCACTTGACTCGGATGATCACGTTAATGGCTGTCCCGTCCCTAATTAACTAGAGACGTTAACAGAGGACCACAAGTTTATCAGTTGAAGTACTGTCAAGTGTTATCCTCTATAAACAAAGTTAATTTATTTATCTTACCTTGAGTTTATCTTGTGGTAACAAGGTAAAGAACTCATTTTCTTCCATTGATTTGATGATGTCCAACAACTGAAATGACAATGAATCCTTTTGAAAACTTGAGATATAGCTGATTAACATGGACAGGAAATGACGTCAAATGAAACATGCAATACTATTACCCTCATATGCACTAGCAATATTATTACCTCTTGGGAGTTTTCCTTTCTTTCTAACTGATTTCCCTTGGAAGATGATGACAACATTCTCTTCAAGTACAGTCGCGCAAGCTCAGGAGCAGAATGCTGAGTAAGTGGCATGTCTGATAGCTTACTACCACAGTAACGAGACTTCTAAATAAAAATGAGTGAAAAATGGAAAATTTTTCATTCTGGTTTTATTGTCTAATTCATATTTAGTTAAATGAAATACTGCATTGACTTTAGGATCTCAAAGGATGAAGATTTTTAAAGGGGCACTTGGATGAAAACGCCCCGATTTTTGAAAGTCCGAATAATTGACGTATTTAATAATAATAATAAATTTAGCCTGGGAGCCACTTGCGGTTGAGATATTTTGGGTTAAAAGACAAAAGAACAATAGGGTTGAGTAAATGACTCACAATTTAGATGCTGAATAAAATTGATAGTTTTTCCCCACCACTGTTGACTGTGAAGGAAATATGTTGCTTGGCTACTATCTGGCCCATATAGATAAGTTTGACCAAGTTTAAAGTCATTTCTAAATTTCATTGATTTTCATCGGGAAGCATGGGTGGCGTAGCGGTGTGAGCGCTCGCCTCATCAATGCGACCCAAGTTCGAGTCCCGCCGGGCTTGGTGTTGTATGTGAGTAGAGTTGTTTGTTGGTTCTCTCCTGTGCTTCGAGGGTTTTCCGGGTTCTCCGGTTTTCCTCCCTCTGTAAAAATCAACTCCTAAATTCCAATTCGATCATGGAATGAGGGCCACAGGTTTGTTAGCCACTGGCTATTAAGTGCTACCCTCGTAAAAAAAGGACTTTTTTTTTCATCCAAGTGCCCCTTTAAATATCTTTGTCAAATTCAGTTTCCACCGATGCACCAATAATACAGAACGAATGAATAAACTAACAAAATGGGAAAATGGGAATGGTCTGAAATGGGAAAGCTAAAATGTCTAACACATTCTTTGAACTACTGACAGAAGGTGAAAGACTTTACCTTTTCTCCTTGAAGATCCTGTAACAGTATCTGTAAGAAAATAACCAGCACACTAGAGAGAATACTAGATCCCTTTTCTTCTGCTGCAAGTGCGTTCATCAGTGATTCTAATAAAAAATACCCAATATAAATATTTAATTAGTATAGGAAATCACATGATCTCTAGTACAATTTGGAATTTATAGGAATTTACGAGTGACATTTTAAAATGTTTTCAAAACTTCAAATTTTCTAAAATATTAAGAGTATCTTTAATTAGAACTCTACAGAGTACAATTTGGGATTTAATTGTACTCCGTTTGTCCAATCAGAATCGAGTAATTTTGTAAGTGGATTATAAGGTGCTAAATGGATAAAAGAAATATAAAATAGGAAAACTCAAACAACACCTGAAAATACAAGCAACTCAGATGTGTGCTAATTTAGCAATATGGTTGGACAGTTGTGGTTGAAAAGCTTATTTGACTAGTGGTAAACAGAGTGCTGTTATTATCAAACTCATTTTGGTTCAAGGTAATACAAAAATTGCAATTTTCCTAACATCATTTTTWAAATTTTTTTATTTGAAATTATGGCCAAACAGTTTTCTTTGAGTTCTTTGTTTACTTCAGCGTAGTTACATCAATAACTTTGGCATATTGATCAACTAACTTCACTTCAAATTTAGGCATAGCCACTTACCAGCAGTGAGGTTAAACTTTTCTTCAGGGACAAGAAGATCTTTATAACACAATATGAACTCTACGATCATGATCACATCAGCAAAGCACTCTATGGTAAGTTCTTGTGGTACATCAATGGGTTTGCCTTCAGGAAGCGGCTTTAACTCCAGTTCAGTGTCCTCTATTTTCTGCAAATAATTTAAGGAAATTGAAATAGAGGATTGCGAACAACTGATGACTAAAGAATGGATTGCCTGGTTTAAATGATAATCAAGGAAAGACACAGCCAATCACAGCCCTGGCGCAATCCTCAAGGGAGGGTACCCAAGGGAGTCAGACTGACAGTATATATAAGAAGCCACCTTCCAGTCTACACCATCGCCTAATGAAGACTAGCAGTACCAGCCGAAACGTCGTGGTCCAACTAACTGCCACAGTCGTGAGACAAGTGAATAAGTATAACCTTTGATCAATGCAAGGTTTTTTCTACAGAAAAAGGTCATACACCTCTTTATTTTTTACCTTTGTTTCTTCAAGACGTTTCAACATTTCCTCTCTGTAATAACAATCAAAAAATTAACAAATGAGTGAATAGCAAATGTCTTTCTATTGTGTTATGTCTGAACAGTCTGTGCCCTACAAACCTTTTACCCTATGACTGAACCCTTCCCCCCCCCCCTCCCCCGCCAGCACCTATACCCACATGCTAAAAATTGCACATACATAGGCCAAGTTGTCCACCACTATCCCAAATTTTTGGGGTATCTATACCAAGACCCAGTCTCACATTCCCTAATTTTCTGGGTACCAATACACATATCCATTACCCCAGATGTTTTAGACCCACTTCTTTGGGTCATTAACAGCCATGAATTTTACCTTTGTAGCCTCCGCTTTTCTCTTCTCTGTCTTGCAAGCTTCTCTCTGTAAAAAGGTGATAAAAGACAAATACGAAAAAATTTACTAAAATATTATTATTCTTTGACCCCTAAAAATAGAACAAGACTAGGAACATTCATTAGGAATTTATTTATCAGGCATTTATTTTTTTTCCTACCTTCTTTTTTGCAGGCGTTCATCTTTGATTTTCTGCTTCTCTTCAGCACTCATGAATTTCCTAATAATAAAAAAAAAGGAATTTAGGGGGGGGGAATTTTTTTCTTCTATTTTTTAATAAAAAATAAAAGTTAAATAGAATGTATTTACCACTTGTGCTTTTCTCTCATTTGTTCCCACTTATGCTGTACTTTTTCTCTTGCTGGGGTGGTAAGATCAAGCACACTTGGTGAGGAGATATTTTCTTCAATTGCTTTATTGATAACTCTTGTAAGCGAGGATGGCTTGTCCCTCTGAAGAGCAGCATTGAACCTGAAATATGTACGTGCAATAGTATTAGATGTTTACGCTGGTGCTGGTGATGGTAATGATTATAGTGGTAATGATGCTAGTGATGATAGTGATGATTATAATGCTAGTGATGATGATGCTGGTGATAATGATGGTGATGATGATGATAGTGATGATTATAATGCTAGTGATGATGATGCTGGTGATAATGATGGTGATGATGATGATAGTGATGATGCTGATAGTGATGGTGTGGTGATGATAATGTAATCAACGAGTTCAAAAATTACTATAATAATACTTACATTTCTGATAAAGTTTGCTGGTGATAATGATGGTGATGATGATGGTGGTGATGATGGTGGTTATGATGATAGTGATAATGATGATGCTAGTGATGATGCTGATGTTGGTGATGATGCTGGTGACGATGATGATACTGGTGGTGATGATGATCATGATCATGATCATGAAGTTGATGATGATGATGATGATGCTTATGATGATAGTGATGATTATAATGCTAGTGATGATGATGCTGGTGATAATGATGGTGATGATGATGATAGTGATGATGCTGATAGTGATGGTGTGGTGATGATAATGTAATCAACAAGTTCAAAAATTACTATAACAATAATACTTACATTTCTGATAAAGTTTTCTGCTTCTTTTTGGAGTTTTCAGTCTTTTTTTGCAAAACTTTGCTATCTGTTTCCATTATCTTTGGCTCCAAGTTTGTGGCCTTTGCAAATAGAAAAAATATCTTTAATAATTAATAAATTTTAAACTTACCAGAAAACATCAGGTGTGAATCTTTCTAGTACTTCTTAAGAAACGTCCTTAGGTAATGGAATGTACTGTACTTATGATCTCATCATCATGAGGTGACATACGTAGGAGTGGAGCAGTGAATTTTGTTTCAGCCAATCACAGTGCATTTGGCTGTTTGCCGCCAACCCTTATTCCCTGACTACTGTATTACCAATTTTTTTTTCTATTCTGTTTTCTTTCAAATAAAATACAGTATAGTATAGGTGCCTACGAGAAGCAGAAATATGGAAAGAGAGAGTGAAAACAATTCCACTTTATTTAGTTTTTTCAACCTCCAAAAATGTTTAGGATGGGTCAATTTGTCCACTCATGCTTTGTACACAGCTTTCACCGCCCAGCTGGTAAAGTATGGATATTTTCTAGAACCACTTTCCATGACCTTGCTTATATTTGAACTTACTGTATCTTTGTTAGGCATATCTTGACAATCCTCTACAATGACAACAAGGGAAGTATCGCTCTTCTTAAATTTTGTCTCTTCGTTGGTCACCAACCTTTTCACTGCCTTGTTGGCCACCACACTACCTAAACTCTTCTTTGATGTTTTCTTTGAGCCAGAATCTTTAGATTTGACTTTTGATTTAGCAGTATTAGAGCTTTTTCTAGTTTCCTTCTCTACTGACTTCTTGTTGCTATTTTCTTTCTGTTCCTTTTTTTCACTTTTCTTCTCGTTTTTCTTCTCAGGTGTTTTAATGCTAGATTTTGATGGAGATGCATCTATTCGTATTAATTTAACTTCCATTTTATTAAAATTTTTACTTTCATTCTTCGCAGGAGTATCAATTTTTCCATCTTCTTTCTTTTCTTTTTTCTTTTCCTTTTCCTTCTCATTCTTCCCGTTCTTTTCCTTTTTCTGCTTGACACTGGTTTTCTTCTTTGCAGAATTTTCCATCCCAGCTTGCGGAGACTTAAGCAGTGCAAATGCATTTGCCTTCTCCTTTAAATTGGGAGTACACCTAAATTTTTTACTTTTTATCTCAAAACAATTCTCGTTTTCATCACTTTCTGTACTAGAGCTCAGCGATTCAATCATTATCCTATCACCTTTGCATTTCACTTTCACAGGAGAGATCTTTGGACATTTATCAAGAATAACCAAAGCTTCTTTTGCCCCTTTTGTTGGAGTAACAGGGACATCTTCTATTTTCCCTGTCTTCTTGGGAGATTTAACATTGTCGTTCTCTTCAATCTTCTTTTGAGACTTCAAAGGTTCATTACCTGGTTGTTTGACCCTAAAGAAATCAAGGCTTCTCTGAAGAGGATCAAGCTTTTTGCCTTTAGGTTTTGAGTCACTGAGTGGTTTTTCTGGGCTGCATTTCTTGGGTTTTTCAGTTGACTTTTTGGGCTTGCTGTTGTTGACATGTTGGATTGTTGCAAGCGGTTCAGAATTTGCCTTTGAAAAGATAATGGGTAAAAATTACTGTTGCAATGCAACTTTCACCGACACTTCCTAATAGTATTTATACCAGGACTAAAAATAACAGCTGGTTGGTCATCACTCTTAATGCCTGCCCAACTTAATATTAGCTCAGTCATGCCTTGTTTCTKGCATGTCATTGGTCAAAATGACCAGCAAGGCAAAAGTTTGACCAGACAAGTCCAAATTCTGGTAGCACATTGTCCAATGAATTACTGTTAGTTTTAGGTCAATCGTTCCCTAATTTCCCCTCTTTGGGCATGGAGGCTCAAAAGCATTGATACCCATGCCACATGCATTAACTAAATCTAGATAAAAAAATTATCTGTCAACCACAAAAACTTGATCATAATTTAAATCTCTTCCAAGTATATATCAAGACTTACATTTTTCTTGCTGACTGAGAATTCCTTCAGCTTATGAGGGATCGAGTACTTCTCCAACACATCTTTCTGTATATGACAAAATCACAAAATATTTTACTCCGACAAAGGACTAGTGTCCGAAACATCAGTAAGTTTTTTCATCTTTTCACAGTGTATAATTTACCTTTTCATCATTACTGTTTCATTAGAAACACCGACACAGCTCACACTAGTTTTTAGCTAGTTATATCTTCGTAAAACAGATTATTAGTCTATTACATTTTCCCCCACTTTAATGAAATCTACTTGACTTACCTTTAATACAAATGCAGTTGTTTGCCCTCCCATTCCAACAGGATGAGCCAGGTTGGCTCTAATAAATAAAGATATTAAGTTTTTACTTGGACACTTTTCAGAGTGGCTGTAAGAGAACAAAAAATAAAGTCAAAAAAAATTCTTTATAGATTCACCAAGGCAAAAGGATGTCCACAATATCCCCCAAAAAAGCAAAATCTCATTTTTATCAGTTATCACATGAAGTTGTTCCATTTGCAACTATCATGTCATTGTCCTCGTAAATAAATAAGACTCAGGATTTTTTCTGAGTCCTAAAATTTGCAGCTGCATAAGTTGCTCGATATACTGCAAGGATCAGCTCAATTAGATACAGTACAAGCATATAGTTTATATTTATTCTCATATAAAAAATGTTATTACCTGATATTTGCTGCCTTGACATTTTTTAGACATTCACCAGAGTCTTTGCACAGCACATCATAAAATTTCTTTGAAGAAGGCTGTAAAGTTAGAGTATCATCAAATAAACAACACTGGTTTCTTACAAAACCCCAATTCACCTTTTCGGCGCTAGCTGTCACAGYGTATAAATTGCTTTAGATTGTGTTACGGTCACCAAAAAGTTCAGACATTGTTCTTGAATTTCTGTACAAATGTACTGACTCTAATTGAACTATTTACTTAGTTATGTTTAGTTATTTCTCTAAATACAAGTAAATAATTATTTTTCTAGCTTGATTGAAGGTTTATTGCTGTTAAGATAGTTAACTAAAGAAATCTACCTAAATTTTCTCTTTAAAGTCAGTGAATTTGTATGGAAATCCGAGAACGATGTCCGAACTTTTTGGTGACCGTAACACAATCCAAGCTAGCGCCGAAAAGGTGAATTAATGAGAGATGCACCATTAATGGTGCCAAAACTATTGACCTCCAGACTTTGTGTCTGATGCCCTTCAACCATTATGCCCCAGAATGAAACAAGGGTGATATACAGTAGCAGTAGTGCACTCCCCCCCCCCCCCGCTCTGAGGTTTCTGGCTTGATGGGTTTCTTTTTATCTTCAATATAAAACAAGTTTGCTTATTACCTTGCCATCTTGATCATCAAGATTTTCTTTGTCACTCAGTGGAGATGGAGGTAAATCCTGTTGGTCAAACCAAGGAATATTTAGAGTGACATGGCTTATGTAAAAACAAAGTATTGCTCTTTTGCCATTGAGTTTCCATAGTCATAAGGATTTAGTCCTTATCCTTGGCACATACATATTAGTTATACATCAGTTTTCAATGGCATATAATGAATAGAATATATACACCAGCCTTCAGACATTGTATAAATATACCCATATAATATTTCATTGGGTGTTTTGAAAAATCCATTTCTCGTGTATATATATATATGTGATGTGTATATATGTATATACACTCGATTGCAGAAACGTTGTAGTATACATTTATACAAATACCTATAATGAGATGCATATTGCAATTTCACTTTTTTAACCCTCAAAACCAATTGATTTATAATCTGTAGGATACAAAACACAAGAATGAAATATTTTGACAGTCATTGAGTGAAACAATAATAAATAAAGTGAGTTTTCTGTTTTGCATATCATTAAATATACTGAATAAATTAGGTATTTGTATAAATGTATACTACAACCTTTCTGCAATCAAGCATATACAGCCATTTGCAAAAATTATGGCCGCTTCAAATATACATACAAGTATATCAAAAGTATATCAGACACGACAGAATATCTTTCTTGATATTTTTTTCAGAAAGCCCTAGTGATAGACAACTCGGAAAAAATATTGGGGATGACATCCCTTAATCTTTGATATGCTTTTGATATACTTGTATATATATTGGAAGCGGCAATATTTTTTGCAAATGGCTGTATATATATATATATACATATATATATATACATGCATAATTTCTGCATTACCATTGATTAGACTTGATCTTTAATATAGAAAATAAATAAGTCAACATTACCTCTTCATCAGTATGAACATTCACCACATGTCCAGAATGGCTGTAATGAGTGAGAAAAAACATATTTTTAAGAAATTTCTGACATACATGTAGTAATATGTGGATAAGATAGCAATATGTATAAATGTACTTACACTTTACTTCCAGTATTTACATTAACAGCATCTTTTTCATTAAAGTTTGAATGGATGTCCTTGTGACATTTGTCAACAAGAGCTTCTAGTCCAGATGTCCCTAAGGGGTAAATCATAGTATATATATAATATAGCTATAGTATAAGTAATATATACAATATGAGTGGCCGTAATGTATAACAGAGCTTGTTTCAGGGTTTGATCTGTGACTTATAGCCATACCCAGACATAGATCAGCCCAGAGGTTGTTTCAGGGTTCAATCTGTGAGTTAGCTGTGCCCAATAATCAGCTAAAGGATAATCAGATAAAATACTTTTTATCTACCACTCCCAGTGGTTTCAGGTGAGGATCCAGGAATTTTAAGAGGGTTGACTATTTCAAAGGTTTTACCAGACATTTGAGGAAAAGTGGTTGACTATATACTAGTCACCCCTCTTACCATCCCTGGGTCTGCCCCTGKATTTCAAGTAGAAGATTAGTATACTCACAATGATGAGCAGTATTTAAGACAGCTTTTTTGAAACACTTAGGGAATTTATCCACAGATTTTAGAGCATTTTCCTCTGACTCTAAGGCATCCTCAAAACTCAACATAGATTTTCCAGTGTATTGACAAGACCATATTTGTGAGCTATACAGCAGAATTTTATCTACATATTCCCTGGAGCAGTGAATCAAGGATTCTAAGAGAATTATAAGTTTTAGGGTCATATAAGAGGGTTTCGTTTGCCTGTGTTGGTTGCAAAGTAATGAAAATGAGTGTACAAACGAGATTAGCTATAGAAGATAAAAAGATTGAGATAATGATGATAATGACTGATGGTGAAAATCGTTAATGATTAAAGGATAAATAAGCTTGTTCAATCATTAACTATGAAATATTTTTTACATACTCTTAGTTAATCACTCCCTTTCGCGACACTTAGAATTTGTTTCGTACAAATAACAATTAACAATTATTCGTACAGGAGTGAAAAATGTTGATAAATATTCGCTGAACCAACTCCCGTACGAAAAGCAAATACAAGTCGCCGTACGTGTGACGTACGAATAGCTACTCCGAATTCATTAAGTCACATCTCTACCAGTACATAATCTCAATTCCTAAAGGCATAAAGGCAATCTAAAACGTAGTTCACCATAGACATATTAAAAATTTGAAAGGTTTTCTTCTTCAAATTTAGTGACTATCCTATTGTACTCTTTCGAGGCAACATACACGATCGATGTGTTTCGAAGGGTCATTGTTATTTGTTCACCTTGAAAAAAAATGTCTTTTAATATTTTTCAAAACATTTTTCGGTGGATTCAAATTCCTATAGGTAACATTGGTTATTTTAGACATTTTTTAAAGAACTTTACAAAATAATGCTGAATTAGAGCGAGAACGTTCCAGATTTAATTTGCAGGGAAACAAAATGGCCGCACGAAAGACATCGAAGTTACATTATTTTAGCTTTAAAAGGATACTCATAAGACTTGAAGACTTCATTGGTCTGCTTAATAACGAACACTTCATCGTTCTGTTGTATTTCGTCGGGAGGAGAGGCAAAAGAATAGGATTTTTTGCCGAGTAAAGGCATAGTGAATCCTTCACTCTTTTGTTTGACCAAACGACGCGGGAAGATTTGAAAATGGCGGGAAGCGACTCATGGGAAATACCGCATGGCCAAATGATCGACGCACAGCAAACTCAGCAAATTTAATTGCTTAATTAATGCAAGAAAAATGCTTTATTTCTTAACTTTTAAACCCAAATTTATTAGTTTTGTTGGACTTAAGAGTGATCGAAATTCTTTTATATATTTAGGATGGTTTTTCAAAGTATTTTCTTTAGTCATACATAGTTTTTTGGGAGGGAGAGGAGGCTGGTCTAAAAACATGTGTGTTCCGAGAAATGGCAGTTAAAAGGTCTTTATTTTAATCACTTAGCTAATAAAATAGCGAAAATTTCTTCGAGATTGTTTATAAAATATTAAAGGTAGGAATTTGTTCTATCTAACGATAAAATAGTTGGTCTAAGTAGAAGTTTTTTCAAATTCTTTTTTGGCGGTCTTTTTAATATAGCCTGTCATAGTAGGCAGTGCGCATGTGCAGTATTATCGATTACCCACCTGCGCATCGCATCAACAAAAAGCGAAGTAAGGTTTTTTTTGTCATGCGAGAAAAAAACTTCAAAAGAATTCACTTAGAAGAAAACAAGAAAACCAATTAAGAATACAGTCTGGTTAGCCGGTAGTTCGACCATCGACTGGGCTCATTTCGGGGTAGAAGGTGGAATGGAAGCGGAAATAAAGGACGAAATACCGGCGATTGAAGAACTCGTTCAAGTCACAGACCAGACTTTACTTCAAGAGGAGACAACTCGCGTGTTTGAGCCGGAAATACAAGAAAACCATATACCTAAAGAACAAGCGGTCGTACCCCTATTTGATCTTACTAAATTGAGCTATGAACTTCAACAAGGGTATAGAATATACGTAGAATTGCTAGCTGATTCAAATCGGAACGTAACATGGCCGTTCATGGAGCCTGTAGATGCCGAGTCTCTTGGTTTATGGGATTACTATGAACGTATAAAAGAACCCATGTGCTTTGCTACAAGTAAGTAAAAATCCCCTTTAACTGCCTTATATCACAATATATCACCCTTATGACTATTTTTAGGGATCAAACGTTTTTCTTCCAACGAAGTCGCTTCAAAATCTATCCAAATTTGCTCAAATTTCGACTTACATTTCGTCGTAATTTCGACTAGTTTTCCTGCATTCCCTCACTCTACTTTATACATCGCTCTTTTTTCTTTTAACTTTTTTTCGGGACACTTGTTGAATGCTGAAGAAATCGGAGAAAGTAGAACAGATCGGCGAAGAAAACCATTGAAATCTTTAGACATGCTTTCGTTGATTCATGCTGTTTGTAGCAGACTGAAAATATCTAGTCAATGTTTCCCCTCGCGATCTTCAAAATCTTCCTTCAAAACAAAAAGCGTTAGATTCCAGGAAATTGAATTACCAGGAAAGTTTTCTTTCGTAAATTTTTAGAATTTTAGTGTTAATTGAGTTTGAATACCATCAAAAATATCAAAAATCTATTCCTTATCATTTGATTTCCTTTCATTATCGAGCTTTGAAGACCTTTAAATGTTTTCTCTTCTTAAATTTTTTTTTAATGTTAAATGCTGTCAAAAAATATTTTAATTAGGCTTAAAAAATTAACTTGAGTATATTTTTTTCCATTCAATGTCACATTGACCCCGACTTGTAGCCAACTGCAAGGCTGCAAATATTTTTTTCAATAAGCAGGTATTTGTCGAGGCATACAGTGTTGTTGACCTCTCCAAGTGTGACTGGACATTTTATCAATTTGTAAACTCATACAGATGATTATTCATTTCTGGCCAAGGCTATATCATTCACAAATCAAGTTTATTTTTACTCAACACTTGTCCAACAGACACTTATTTGCAGACTGTCTTGCTTATTGGCCATTTCATGGTTTAGGAAAATACTGGGATAACGTGGGTATTGCAGTGCATTTTGGAACTGATTTAGTCGACATATTTCCAAGATAACATTTATTTTTTTCCTCTTAAATAGTCTCACAATGCACTGCAATGCCGACTTGACTGAGTTTTTCCCTCAACCTCGAAATGGCTAAAAACCAACTGTCATCAGACTCCGTATCATTTTATTTTCTTGGCCTAAAGACTTTTATTCTAATTGTAGTTGGTTCCAAGTTCAATGAGTACAAGTACGATAGTATTACTGAAGTTGTCGCTGACATAAGGCTGATACTAGAGAACTGTTACCGCTATAATGGTCCTAGCCACTGGGTTTCCAAATTAGGACAGAAACTAGAAAAGATCTTGGAACAAAAATTAGCCTTATTAAGCAGGTTAGTGAGACATCTTTTTTGACCACTCAATGCTAAAAATGATATAATTAACAGTTTTCTTTGATATTTAGGTCCTTGCGAGACAAGGTTACCCTTCTAGCTACTATGTCATTGAATCAGGATCTTCCTTTAATGGCTGAGTTAGAAGGTATGTGATTTTATGGCACAGTAAACCTGTTATCATGCCTACATATACGACAGATATTGTGACCTGCTTTATTTTGTAAACCAATAAATTTTGCATGGAAAACTTAATATCTTCCATAGAGATTCCAGAATGCATTGATTCTATTCTCTTTTATAGTAACACTCAAATTTATTGATACCCTAAAATCATCATACAGAATCATTACAAAATAAAGCTTTAAAACAACTTTACTCTGTGCTGTGTTATTCTTCACCCTGGTATAATAAATGGAGGTTAAGCAATTAACACAAGTCCGGAATTTGTTTTATAGCATCTGGTCGCAGACGTTCAAGTCGTCAGAACTACCTAAGCATGGTGAATGGAGAGAATTCCTCTTCTCTCGTTAACCATGTAAAGATACAGGAAGAGTCAGAGGAGAAGGAGAGAAGGAAGCAGAGGGAGAAAGAAAAGAAAGAAGCTAATCAGGCTTTGCTGCAGGATCTGGTTGATTGGGAGAAAAATGAGTTGAAACTGGAAATAATGAATCAACTTCATTCAATGTGGGAGGTGAGTTGACGTTATAATTGCAAAAGATAATGTTCGTTTAATGCTTTTAGAGTAATAACTAAAGATTTATCTTAATAATTTCTATCCCAGATACCATCTATAGGAAGTTTCCTCTACCTGGTTAAGGATATTCTTGGCTTAGAAGACATCAATTTAACAGAATTTGAATTATCATTCATCTATCCTAACAAGTCATCACTTCTTGCAAGAATATACACAGCTCTTCTCATTACTCCTCATCAAAGAAAAAGGTACCTCACAATTAGCAAACATTTCGAACCCTCTGGGCATGGTTATACGAAGCCTGGACAATACTATCCAGTGGATAAATCCTCATCCAGTGGATAAGTTGATGCTTTTATCCAATAAATTCATCCATTGAACAAGATTTGTCCGTCGAATAGTGCTATCCAGGATTCGTAAAACCGGGCCCTGGTGTTTAATTCTCTACCCAAAAGAGCTTCAAAAATCTGATTTACTAATATTGCAAGACTTTGAATAGATAATAGTCAAAGACCTATGTCTCCTAATACAGGCTTAAAATAACGATCAGTCACCAGTCATGATCACAGGCCAAATTAGTTCTACTGTGGCTTGGTGGATAAACCTTACTGGTCAAAATGAGAGATTTGACTGGACAAGGTCCAGTCCTGGCCTGACATTGTCTAATGTCTGGCCATTATTGTAAGCCCTGCTGTTAGGCTCGTTGGTTCAGTTTACTTTATGATTGGTTAGCTTTGTAAGTGTAGTCCCACAGGAATGGTTTATTCCTGCCACAGTCCAACAAACCACTCATTTGTTTTCTCTTCTCATATAGTTTATACAAGAAACCAGTCATGACCTTCAAAAAGTGGGAATCTAAGTTGAAAGAGAAGCTAGATGCATGGTACAAAATTGCTGAGAAAGAAGGCTTTTATTCAGTAAGTACTCTAAGAGTAAATGGTTTGAAGAACCCAGGTGTTGAAGTTTGTTGTGAAGTGTGATCGTCCGGGTGAGTGTAGTCTTGAGAAAGACTGTTGTTGGTGGTGACTGACGTTTTAACAACCTGAGCGGAAGTCATCTTCAGAGTCCAGTGAGAAAACAAAAGACAGTCAATGGCATTTATATTAGCAAGTACTCCCATTGTCAAAAAAATGATCACAACCATGGGATAGCTTTGAAAAATTGAAATAAAGTGTGACAGTTGTGGTTCAATCCTATCGTAATAATTGAACTTTACTAAAAGCTTTATGCTCTGTATCTTTAGGTTTCATTACAGCTTGGGATAGATCTGAGGTTTTTTGATATTCTTGGTAAGTAGATGTTTTTATTAATAATTGTTATAGCAGTAATTACAGCTATTTCAAAAAAGGTTGAATACTGAATACCGCATACTGAATAGTGCATTCCAAGACCAAAGGTCATTGCAGGTCTTGTTAATTTAAAAATAAAAAGTAAATATGCAGCAATTAACTCTCTATAGTATATTGTTTCAGATGGAATACACTGAAAATAGAATAAATAATTATTATTAATCCTATTTTAGACAATGTCACTATGACCCACAATGCACTTCAGTCTTGGAATGCACTATGCAGTATTCAGTATGCAGTATTCAACCTTTTTTTAAATAGCTGTATACAAGTGGGTAATATGCATACTGTTAACTTTGTCAAAAAAGAACAAAAACAAAAGACTCAGAAATTTTCAAACCAGGCAAGCTGGGTTTATGGCAGATCTTGGTTAGCAGGGCTAAAAAGCCCTGGTCTGTCTGGCCAAACACCTCTTGACCAGTTGCATTAAATGGTCAAATGTCAATCAGTCTGTTCGGCCATTAAGCAGCCATCATATTTAGCCCTGGTTGTTATTGATCAATGTTTTATTTTACTTTGTAAAGGTAAAGAAAAGAATCCTCTAGAAGAGAAGTCCTACTTGGATCTGACCCTATATCAACGTGTTTGGGTGCTCAAGACCCTGTGTGATGTCTGCTTCGTAAGTCACAACTAAAAAAACTTTATATTCATATGTTTGTATCAACTAAGAGCAGCAAGCCTTTGAACAAAAGTGTTATCCAAAGTAGCTTGCAAGTAGATAATTCATCACTTCGACGTCATCAGCTGTCATTTGGTATAAATGGTGTCAGATTGTGTGATTTTTTTGTTGACCGTAACACAATCCTACTCAATTCATCTCTTGATCATGAAATTTTTGGAAATTATCGCCCTATCTCTAATTTAAAGAATATCTCCAAGATTATTGGAAAAGTCGTTTCCCTTCAGCTAAATGATTATCT